TATGCATGATGTGCATTGTTAATATTTCGACATGAGCTACTGGCTAGAGAGAAACCTGGTATATATGTTTTTATTAATTGTATTAATGTTTTGAATCATTATACAACCTATATTTCAATTCCATATTTGATATGTCACAATGTTTTATCCCACAATATAGGCTACTGAGTTGAGTATATTTACCATCATTTATTTACTAAAATATCTTAAAACAAAAATTTTAGAGCTAATTTTATTATACTTATTTTACTGAAATATTTATTAAAAGTTTAATTTTTATCAACATTAATTACAAGAAATGTATTAAGTAGTCTTTTTTGTTTATTTATTTTAATATGAATGTACAGTAGTTATTACATTTTCAAAAGTTTTGGAGATTAAATGGAATGCCCTTGTTTTTTTCTGATTAAAATTACTTTATTTACTAAGATTTACAATTACTTTATTTATTAAGATCATTTACATCATCCAAAAAAGCAAATGTCAAAATACTAATCCTTGTAGAACACGTGAAGTTAGTTGATCAAAATTTGAATTTTGACAATTGAATGCTCAAATTCCTCAAATGTTACATATAAATACCCAGTCTAGTGATTATAAAATCATAAAACTGATATTGGGAAATACAAAAAAGTTGCCTGCAGTATTCTATGTTTCTTGATTCTTTTTGCTATTAATACTAGTATGTAGTACATGTGAAGCATTTGCCATTGTACAACAAGCCCAAAGCAAATTAATAATAAGTGTAAATAAAATAATAAGATAAGAAACAGGATTAAAAATAATGGAATAATGAGTAGATAAATACATTTAACGATCTGAAAATGCAATTAAGTGAAATATACATGGTACACTGAAACATTAAAACAGTAGAAAAATATGAAATGTGATGTTCTTATACATAACCAATTCAGTGAATCAATATTAACAACAAAATATGACCATTATTAACATTTTTTATTTATTTTACGTAAAATCATAATATTGTATTATTTTCTCAGGAAATGTGGGAAGAAAACATATATATAAAATTTTCAAGATACAACAGAATCAATGGTATAGTAAAAAGTAATTTTCAAAACATGACCTAAGAAACAACAAATTAGGCTCCATAAATTGCAGCAAAATCAATTCTTTCAAATAGGAAGTGAAATGCAGATCTTAAAACAAAAAGTTAGAAGTAGATTAGAAGCAGCCCAGATGAGATACCCGAGATTATTAATAGGAGTGCCAAGAAAAGAAAGAAAAAAGACATAAGAAAAAGCCTGAAATTAAAAACATAGTGAACAAAATAGAAAGATACCAAAGGAAATGGCAAGATCATTTAAAAAGAATGAAACCAAACAGATTCTGAAGTCCACCCCAAGAGGAAAAAGAGAAGGAAGCAGGCTAAAGAAAAGATGGGAGAACCTGGAACACTTCAGCAATGTTTTTGGGAGTACTGGGCCAAAGGAACACTATAGGTAACTGTTGCTATATTCACTATGTTCTGTAGGTAGGTAACCCTTAATAGTTCATGATGGTGGTGATGAACTCACGAAATGATATTATTTCAAAAATTGGTGCAGTAAAAATATTTTAATAAGTTTTTAAATAGTACTAAGTTTTTCTTATTGAATATTGTTGGTTTTTTCCAAAATTATACTTTTTTGTTCTCACTATGTTCAATGAGCTGCTCATAGAGTTCCTTGACTTTAGAAAATGGAAAAGAGCTGGAACTGTTATTTTGCACATCAGGCACAGAACTATTCTTTGATATATTTGCAACATCATGCACCATTAATGAAGAATAAGAGCATACAGGAGATACAATTGGGTCACACTGCATTTTCAATTTCGATCTTGTATCTTTAAAAATGCTGTATTCATTCCTATCTTCTCTGCTTGTAAAACATGTCTTGTTCTGTTCAAACTTTTCTCTTGATTTATTCAAATGATCAGTTTGCAACATTTCTTTCTCAGTTACTGTTAATGATATGGCCATTTCTTGTGGAAAATTCTGCAAATATCTACATAACTTATGTTGCTCCTCTTGAGCAATTTCTTTTATGATACTTTTAACGTGATTTTCCAAAAAAGTTTTCATGTCATTATTCAGCTTAACTTTATCACAATGTATGTCTTGATAATTTGAGTCACTGTAAAAGAAAAGATTTCTTAATATGAATTTTATATACATGTTTACATTTTATACACACATTTAATTTTAAATTATTATCTAATGCCTATGGTATTAGGTTGCATAATACCTATTATGCAGCCTAATACCTACGATTTAATAATTTAAATTTTATAATTGTATTTCTGACGGGTTTATAGAGTGTGAAAATTATCAATGTTTAATAAACAACAATCCATTAGTGCTTTCAAAATAATTTCAACTAAATAAGTTCAAAAAGAAAAAATAAATACCTAACTTAAATAATTCCACTAAAAAAATTAGAATGTGTGGCTTGATTACATTAATTACATTGATTAAATTGATTGATCGATTACAGTGATTATATAATTTTACAGGAATCCTCCAATTAAAATGAGAGGAGCACAGAAGAAAGTAGGTGATCTAGATATTAGTTTAATCAACAGAATATAGCAGTAAGTGTTTGTAAAGAGAACCAGTGTAACAACAACTGATCCTGATCTTGGTTATGCTAACAATGTGTAAAATTATTACTTGTTTTCTCACAATTACATGTAGCCTTGCATTATAAAATATTTTTGATGGAAATATGGATAGATATGTTAACAATACTCTAAGCTAAAGACCCAGTAATCTTGAAAGACTCTTCAATTCATTCGAAGAGGAAGTTTAGGTCTTTCAAATCCTAATGTTAAAAAAAATGGTCAAATCTTAAATGTCAAAAAAATTAAAATAGTTATATTTCAAAAGGTAGTGTTTTGAAAGACTTGGGCTTCTTCTCCCACAAAAATTGTGCCTAAAAATAATTATTTAGGAGTCTGTTTTAAGGTTGGCAGCAGTAAAAAAATGCCGGAATAAAGCAAGAACAGCTAAGAACTACTAAGGTTTTGTGTATGACAAAAATTAAATCAAACTCATGGGAAAGCAGAAATAATCTGTATGCAAGTATGGTTTTGTTGATTTTACTATGTAATATTCATATTATAGGACTCAAAAATGTTCATTTTTAAAAAAGGACTATTTGGCTTTTCCACAAATTCACATTCCTGCTCAACTCCTAAATATCTTCTTTCACTAGATTGATATACAATACTTCAAATAACTTTGAAATTTGTATGTTTGATATAGGAATTTGTTATTACAATATTATTGAGGCAAGGAGATGAATTTGTAAGAGTATGCTTTCTTGTGTTGGTCAAACTCTCAATTGTCCAGAACATGAAATTTAACTGGGCATGTCAAATTAGGGAAATTTTGAGAAAATCATTTCAATGCAAGCAGGAAGAAATGCGATGTCATAAATAAATATAGTATTTTCTTGAAAGAAACATATTCATATAGATTTGTAAAGTAGATTATTTTTTAAAATAAGTTTATCATAAGTTACCAGATGTTGAAAGATGAGTGTCTTAATGATTTATGTGCTTGCAACTGTATGGAAGTGGTGAGTATGTCTACTCAACTTAAAGAGTTTCTACTGACAAATCTTTTGTCCTTTACACACATGAAAATACGATGTGTGTTAAACCAGAAGAAAAATATATTAACAGCTGTGAGAAAGGTTCTCTTACACATCAATGGGATAACATTTGGGCCTGCAAGGCCCAGGTAAAAGAGGACCTATTTTTAGGTTTTGCGATTATAAGAAATATTAATTACTTGATAATTTGTGATAGTTGATACAATAAAAGATTATAAACAGAATCTTCCAGAATAACAAAAAAAAAAAAATTTCCCCACTTTGATAGCTTATGTAACTTTGTTTCTAAATTAACATAATCTGTTAGTAACATTCATTTCTTATGTAGTAATCATAGACTGATGAATATGAATTTCTTAAAGGATATTTTTATTATTTAAGGTACTAACACTATTTGTGTTTACAATACACTTTTATAAAGGGAGTTCGAATAAAAGTCTTGCAGGCGGGCTTGCACTCATATTGTTATACTACTGTTACACATTACGAACTTGCCCATCATTACCCTATTTAGAGTGGTCTCAGTGACAGCTCCTTGGGGTGGGCAAGGTAAGCATTGATGAATAAGTACTGGTTTAACACACTTAATAATAATAATAATAATAATAATAATAATAATAATAATAATAATAATAATAATAATAATAAAAACTAGGCACCACTGTTCTCGTTAGCAGATGCAACAAATGTCTATAAATTTACGCATAAAATGTATAATACATGTGTCAATTAATATCAGTGGTTGGTCGTGAACATATGTTAAGGGTAGGCAAAACAGATTACTGAACAGTGGTGCTGTTCAGTGCAGTTTTGCCGCCACTGAGTGAAATGCTACAATAGAATCCAAATTTTATATACTTACCACTTTTTAAGCCATTGATAAATAAGCTGTTTTAGCTGTATTGTATATTTGAAAAAAATTATGAAAATCAAATACAATTTTTGTCTGGCCATTAAATCTATTTTGAAATTTTTCAATTCGGATGTGTTAGGATTTGTCTGAATAGTGTATCAGAGGAACGTTTTTTGTGAAACCTTTGTTACAATAAATCATCTTTACGAAGGTTACTTTTTGTGCCGACATGTCTATGTGAGATTCAGTGAGTGGGCGTTCGGCTTGGAATTCTGTTAACACTGGCAGGATGGAACCCAACATTTTGACAAAAGACCTATTTTTTATCTTGAATTCTCAACAAAATATGTGGTTTGTAAATTCAGGGTTTAATATTTAATCATATTCTACACATTTAATGAAAAATAGCCATGTCCCTATAATTTAACTAAGATATATACAAATATTACTAAAAGGACGAAAACACATAATTTTGATGGGTATTAGATTTATGTCTAACACCTTGACAGGTCAAGTAAAAGTAAATAAAAATGTGATTGTTAGTACATTGAATCAAACTGTAACTCTTGATTAAAACAGCACCAAGAAACTTCCAGAGACTGTATAATTTTATAATGAAACAACATGTGACGTTGTCATGCTTGATCAAATGGCACACTTGGATACTGTGAAATTCAAGTGTATCTACTGGTGAGCAGTGCACGTATTTTTCATTGTTCCGGATGAGCAGCTATCAATGCTTGTATACAATGGATGACAAGAGGGGAAAAATCTCACTGAGATTATATCTTCAAATTATCAGAAGAACTAGCATCTGCTTACGTTCGTCTGAGCAATCAGCACTATTCAGAGTAGCGATATTTGCAAGAACTACCAGACAGAGGATGTAAAGGCAAGATACAAGTCCAGGATCAGAATGCACTGCAACAAATATCTGCTTTGAAGGGTTTGATTAATAAAAATTTACTGAGGACTAAGAACTTTGCAAGATAAAAATGCAAACTGTATTCAATATTAGTGTTATCCATTGTTTTTGGTATTGTTACATATGTAAGAACAATATTAGCATAATAACATTTACAAACAGCAACAACAACATTTTAAAATATTGGCAAACAATAACATTCTTTAACAATACAGAAGTTAGAGTCAAATCTGAATGATTGTATGTATTGATGATTACGCTACACAAATTCATACCCATCAAAATGACAGGTTCGTCCTACTAGGTAGAAGGAAAATCGCTGTCCTCCTAGTGTTAATGAATTGGGGAAGGAGGAGGGAATTTTTTTGTTTGAAATAAGGGGCCCCCTTGGATCAATTGCTCTGGGCCCCTGGTTTAATCTGGGAGCCCTGTTCATTCAAGATTGCAGATTGCTGTACCTAGGGACAGTGACTACTGATGTACCCAGGGACAGAGACATATCTACGCATTCAGGCACCCATGGCAAGCATACATTTTGTGCCCCTGTCACGATACTTGAAAATAGAGTTGTAATTTTACTTTAGCGGATATACTGTAGAAAGCCCCTTGTGAGTGGCACCCACGGCACGTGCCATCGCTGCCATACTGTAGACATGTCTCTGCCTAAGGACATCCCTAGTGAAGAATTAAATTGAATTCAAATGGTTTCAGAATGTTATCAGGCTATGTCGTGAAGCAAAGTAAACAATAAAAGTCCTCAATCATCAGCAGAAATAATTGTGAGTTTTGACAGGTGTTAAAAATCATATATCAATTCTTTGTTCAGTAATAGAAAAGGAAGGACCTGAAAACTTAATTGTGCAATATTTTAAAACAAAAATGCACAAATAATGATTCACTCATTCAAAATTGATGAAAGTTCTGCAACATATAAATTTGACATGAAAGACATAAAAGTTAATTTCCTGGACCCATCTGCATTTGGTTGTTTTCACAGGCAACACATTTATTTTCATGTTTCTTTTACAAGTTATAATCTAGGACGAATTTCTTTTTGTTTAAGAAATGCTGTTGTTATATATTCTGAAGCTGACGTAGTGGACAGAAAGTGAACTTAAGAACCAATTTGGCTGTAATTAAGGGCAGCAATGTTTTTTCTTTTACACACTATTTATTTTAATCTAGGTTCTTTTGTTCATTAAATGTTATTGTGCTACACTCTTCATGAAAAAAGAACATACATTTATTGAATTGTAGCTTGTTTTTTCACATTCCCTATATTGTCCCCAGATATATCAGTACGATGTACCTAGGGATACATAGTACACAAGCAACTTGAATTCGAGGTTCTCTTCTGCAAAAACGAAGCTCTAATTCAACATGCAAACATTGTGACTTCTGAAGGCTACTCAGGTCAATACCCTATACTTTGTTAGTAAAGCCAGTCAAGATTCACTCTTGACCACACCCACAGCCAAAGAAAACAGATTTCCACTGGAACTTCTGCTCAGATGACTGGGTATTGCTAATGTAAGGAGCATCTTGGAAGGTGTTTGGAGAGGGATCATGAATGGCATCCACCCAGTTGCATTCTGAGAAGTTCACGCATGATGTTTGTTTACAATGCAAGACTGCAAGCACCCCTTTCCCAAAGAAACCCGAGCAAAAGTCTGAGACCTTCACTGTATTTCATTCCGATGTTCGCTGGACATTTCTAAGAGAAGCACATTATTTCATGGAATTTATTGATCAAATTCAAATGCAGTAAAACATTGGTAGAGAAAACTTGAGTACTGAATCCACTGAGTACTTGATGGGAAAGAGCATCTCAAGGACCCCTACAATGATGAGCATAACTGGATCTCCGAGCGAAAGAATGGCACTCTGAAGCTGTCAGGCATCTCCTGAAAATGCACTTACTAGTTTGCTTCTGTACAGAGGCAGTAAACACAAGAAACTTCCTGTGGAATCGTCTTCCCACAAAGAGCTTACACAGCAACACCCCATTTGAATCTTGCACTAGTGTGGGTCCAGGCACCTGAGACCGTAGTGATTGGCTGTTGGGTAACGTATCTGGACAGAAGGGTTGGAAAGGAGAGGCTAAATTCTCGAGAGCAGGATAGCGTGTTTTGGGGTGATGCTGAGTCAAAGGCAACAAAGACTGACAAAACAATTTAACAGTTTTTAACCCGGTTGCAGAACAAACCTTTCAAAAGAGATTCTTCACTCCAAGGTGCCGTTCAGCGATGGGCTGACAAGGTCTGATGTGACAGAGTGCCGTGAGGTAATAACATCTGATGTGCAATGCATTTTGAAGAATGACATTCGGGACATAGTGGATTGTTCAAGGGACCAGAAGGATGCAGGTTGTCAAATCACGCTGAGAAATAAGTACAGTGCCACTGGAACACTTAACAAAAGGAGAGTATGTCTCTTCGCCCAGGGGTTCAGCCAGTCAATATGCAAATACTATGTTAATTCTGCATTTATATGAAATATTGGAAGAAGAGAAAATCCAAAATTAATTAACTGTAGAACTATAATTAAAATGTACTCTTTGCTATAAAATTGTAAATTTTTAAAGGAAATTCAATTATAATATTATAAAATATTTAAAAATTCACAATTAAATGTTAAAAATATTAATATCTAATCATATGTTCTAATTTGAACTTACTTCGCCTGTTTAACATGTTCCACAAACACAGAAAATTTTTCCAAAGTTTCCAAAATTGCTTCAAACGCTTCTGTTTTTACAAAACAATAACCTTCTTTCTCTTCTTTCTCTTTCAATAATTCATTTTCAAGTTCATGTATCTTGGTTCTGAGCTCCTCCTTTTCCAATTCAGCCTTTCTTCTAAGAGACGTTTCTATTTCTAAATGTTCTGCCACTTCTTGCAATTTTGCTCTGCACAAATAAATACAAAAGTAAACAATTCTGACACTAATAAAAAAGAACTGAATTATAATAAAAAAGATCCCTTTTGACTAGAGAAGCTACAACAGAACAAACTGCAATCAATAAAATTCAAAATTCAATCAATAGAACAATCAGTGGTGTTGGTCAATTTTACTTACTCAAGTGTGGGAACACTAATCAATCTAACAGTTGTGTATTACTATAACCATAAATATAGCAATCATATTCATCAAGTGTCAGTATCAAAGCTCATTACTAAAAATGCATGTACATTACACATTGCGGGTACATCTCAAAGAGGGTTGTGTCAAAACAAGTATTCTATCAAAATTATAAGATTAAATATTTGCATGTTTTCAGTGCTTTAAATATATGTAGTATATCTTAATATATTTAACAAGTACATAAGTACTTATGTAGTATTTACAATTTGAACAGTATCACAATTAATGAACATTAAAAGTGCATTCTATACTTCAATTTTACTTCAAGAGAAGAAAGTTGTTCTCGATCAATTATTCAGAATATGCTCCAGCATTCCTGTGAAACTCAAAATAGCTCTATTTGTCTTGTTCAAATTTTTCCTTTGTCTTGGTTTCGAACCTACATCTTTCATTTGCAACCCTTTTATTTTCCACCTCACTTTTTTCAACTTCACTACATATGCTGTTTCTTTTTGTATTTCTATTCCATCCGAGAAACTATTCTTATAGTTGATATGGCAACAGCGCAAAATTGTAAAAGTATATGAAGAACTGCAACAGTTAAACAATTATACAATTGTATCTTGAGACAAGCAGTGTTATGAACAATTCTTAAATAAATATCAGTGACACTTATGCCCAACAATCAGATCAAAAAATAGTTTTAGAGAAGGTTGCAAGTGAAGTAACTGACAAAAAAAAGTACTATTACATATATAAAATAGCCTGTTACACCATTTATAACTCAAGAACAGAGGCCAAAGGCCTCCAAGAAATGTTTCTCACACTGCAATCTTATTAGACATTTTTAATAAATAGGCCAAACTTTTATTAGACGAGTTTTCGTGGATATCCTGTCACTAGACTTCAAAAATTATTTCTTCTTATCACACCATTATACTTAACGACTTCTAACTGACCTATTGCCAAGGAACCCCCTGTAATACAATTATAATAAGGTCAAAAAACAAGAAATAAAAAATTAAACTTACTTTGTTTCCACCATTTGAGGAAGGTATTGGATCAATGAAGTATGATTTTGTATCAGCCCTGTACTGACTGAAGTAGATGAACGTATGTTGGACCTTTCACAAAAAGAAAATTTCCTAAACTCACTGAATTACCAAATTGAAAAAAAATTATTATCTTTAACAATGTGCGATCAATAAAGAATATAAATGATTATAAATCAAATATTAACAGATTATTATTGCAATTTATTATGTATATAGATTTTACAAATAAGGTCAATGGAAAACTCACTTGTTTATAACTTACTTTTGTCTTGTACAATGAGATATTCGTTTCATGGGAATTTGGGTACAATCAGCTCTTTTTTTCAAAGATTCAGATGCAACTAAGTGAAATTGAGTTTGTGGTTCAGTCCAGAAGTACTAGAATGAATATATTGATATAAAATTACAATCAATATGTATACTTTCAAAAATTCAAATAGTAAATAACATCAGTAGGTACCTCACGTGCCTCTTTTTTGGCATTATTATAAAGAAGTTTCAGCATAATTTGATGAACAAGACCATGATCAATTTTTGCATTGTCACGCACATCGACAATATAAAGGGTAACATTAATATCTAACATACTTAGAACATACTTTGCTCCAATGTTAGAAATACCACAGTTTTGCAGGTCAATGGCTGAAAAAGGATTATATATAAATATGTTAATAGATATAATTCTAGCCATAAAAAGGTGAATTATGAACGTTTATTCAAGATGGCAATTCAATATTTTTTATTTTGTTTTGATAATTTTACACACTTTTTACATAGATAGAAATATTAAAGAAACCTTTAAGCCATATATCCTCCTTTAAAACTTCTGCAAGATGCTTAACACCATCATCTCCAATCCCTGGATTGTTATTAAGAATAATTCTTCTTAATCCACACATTGACTCCAATTCTGGATCATGATTTCGCAACGATTGCTTCCAACCTTCTGTGTAATGCTGAAGAGACTGGCACTAAAAATAGTTAATAGTACTGTATGGTTATCACATAATATGCTATGAAGATATCGGCTTTCAAAGTTCTAAAATGAGTGATAACATAAATAAAAGATATTGGAATGTTAATAAACATGAAAGTTTTATTTTGGAATTGATTTGTAATGACATTTTAAAGTATAAGTGGTTTACTGCTTCTGAACACATTTAATGACACCCATAAAATCATTATTTAATGCTGCATCCTTGGTCAGGCGATCAATGTTAGCCCTGTTAATGTATATTCTCAGATTACAGAAATGTAATAAATTTGATGAAGACCTTCAAAGTTTCAGCAACTTCAATAGCACTTTTGCTGCTCAAATTACAATTTGATAAATCAAGATGAAATATAATAGGCATGTTTCTGAGCACCATAGTTAGCTGTTTAAATACTTCATTACCAAGAGGGCTGTTATGGAATGAAATAGTCTGCAAAGATGAATTGGCCATCATTCCCTGAAAAATTACATAATCATACAGTTAAAATCATGTATACAAGACTCAAATGTACTTCAGAAAGTTCAAAAGTTAATGTTTAATCCCCAAATAAGTACTTTTGAAAAAACTGCAATAAATATTTAAAAGCTATAAAAATAATTCATTATCAAATTATAATTATTATTTATTTACATGTGAACAATTAAGAACTGAAATTACTTTGGAAAGAATTGCCATGTATTCATGTTTAAGTGGAAGGCCTTCAATCTCTATACATGTCACTAATGAAGATTCTGTGATACATTCTGCCAAAGATGCCATCAAGGAGCGCAATACAAATTTTGTATACAAAACTGGGAACTTTTTAACTAAACGCACTTTTGTTTCAGTATCAACATCTTCAAGAACTGGAAAAGAAAAATTAGATGGTAATTTTGTTGAGCATTGCAAAAGGAAACATTGGAATGAATTCAAAGTTCAAAATTATAGTTAAAGTTCAATATTATTTTACTCTAAATATTCATACAAACTGTGATACAAATGCTAATTCTTCTTTTTTTTATCTTCATAAAGTGAATCAGATTATTTATTTAAAAATGTGTAATAGTATCTAATATGAATTAAGCTATATTATATTTCTAAACAAAAGAGATTTGATCAAATAGACAAATCTATTTGAACGGTTAACAGTAATTTATGGAACAAAAAGGGTAAAATAAAATTTTATTTGTGAGTGAAAACATTGGACCCTCGACTAGAGGAACCAAGGATAGTAATTTTCACAAGGAAATAAAATCCTACCAAGAGATGTGTAAAATAAAGGTAAAAAGTTTAAATGAAATGTGTAAATGTTACATGTATACTAATACGAAACATATTTCACTGTATCCATGAGATTGTTGTTGAGGAGACAAACACTCACATCAATTGACTCTTTGCAACATTCATAAATCATGTTAGCCATGAAATGAAATTCTCAGTGGTAAATTGAAAATGAGAGATATATGAAAGTCTCACAAAAAAATAAAAGTATTTGTTTTCAGGAACACAAGATTATTGTTGGTTCACAAGATAGTAATGTAAAAAAGAATTAATAGAGTTAAAATTATTTTTCTTCATAATACTTCTAATAAATTGTATTGTAAATTAAAAACATTCAAAATTGGCAATAGGTACTACATAATTCTTTTATATAACTAGTACTGTTACCACTTTCAATAACATTAATTTGAGCAAATACTTTTCTTTACTGGATGTCTGCTGCGGACTGCAATCACATGAAGACTTCGGTCATTCTTCAGAGCCTCCAATATAGCTAGCCATTCATCGATTGATATTTTATCACCATTAATATCCAATATGTTTTTATGGACGTGGTACTTTGAGAATGAAAGAGGAGCTATATTCCGTAATTGACACACATCAGGATAAAATTTATAAAAAAAGGGAGAATTTTTCCTCCTGTCTTTCACAGACTGAAACATTTTAATTGCTGGAAAATAAAGATAACACAAAAAAGCTATTAAAAAATATGTGAGGTCAGTAACGTACACATAAAATCTAGGGATACAATTACTTTGTATTTTTGGGGCATAAAACTCTTTATCATGTAATAAGGGATAAAACAAACCCCCATATGACAAATTATGTAATTTAAATATTATAAATTCACTTAAATAGAAAAACTAAAAATCTCCCATACATTTGTTAAAGGACAAATAGTTAATAACATTTTATATACAGAGTGCAGAGAGGTCTGGGGCAGTAGATCCTTCAGGGCCCCTTTTTCAAACAAAAGTTTCACAAAATCCCCAATACAAAAAGAAAATTTACCATTTACCTCACCATCCGACACAAATATCTTTTAGTGGTTAATTGAAAATAGAAGTAAATACAATTTTCATGTTTTCAATGAAAACAGAAATAATTGGGGACTCAAATATTTCTTTTTTGCCATGGGCCTGGGGTAAACTACCGCACCTCCCACCATCTGGGCACTCCTGTGTAATAAATTGTCAATTGTTTTAAATTGCTAATAAAAATAACTTTTCACTATATTTTCTGTGGAATATGCACATATTTAGTAATTTAGTACATATTCAAAAGAAAAGAAATGTGTGTGTGTGTGTGTGTGTATATATATATATATATAGTACGGACTTGCTCTACAGCTGTCGCCGTTTCTCCGCTCTCAGTCTCCATGCCTCTCTATTGGACCACAGATCATCCCCAACAAAAGAAATTAAGAGCACTTAGGCGATATATTATCGAAAATTATCAAAATGTTCTAACCACAACTTAAACAATCAAAAAACTAAATTTCGATAAATTAACTCGTAAATAAAAATAATTTTGAATTTTTTAAAAAAATTCCAAATTTATTTACTTTTCTTAACCTCCTCTCGTCTTACACTCTTGCTCTAATAATTGCAATACGTCATTACAAGCCAAACGAAACACGTGTTTCGATTTCCTCCTACCTCCACACCACACGAGAAATGAAATTTGCCATCACTGCGACTTCTGGGATACCAGGAGATCGACAGCTCGAGTGAATGTTTGGGACTCAAATAGTGTAAAAAACATGCGCCACACAGAATCATTTGAAACACCCACGAACAAATCACAACGTACACTCACTACGAAGAAGTCAGGTACTAGCGGCCAATTGATATAGAATAAAGGCATCATAAGACAAATAACCTTGATATGTTGCATCTGAGATCACTAATCGCAGGCAATAATATATGGATCCTCGCAGCCCAATTAGATCATAATCACTGTCCAACCCATTGCAGAAATTAAAGAAAATACCAGCCACTCTCAATTGAAATGAAAAACCTATAAAATCTAATAGAGGTAGATATTGGCAGTTGTGGTTATTTTAACTAATGGACTTTGTTGCTTGAAGACTGGAGGATTGTGAAGAGAAACTCTCATTCTAAAAGAAAGGAGTTAGAACCATGCAGGGCGGTGTGCTGACAACCACCAATCATTGGGTTATAAGGTTCTCTTAGTCATTGAAAGAGTAAACTGAGTGCATTAGAGGACAAGAACTTCTCACGATATATGTTTATGGTTTCTATTCTTGAGTTATATCTGAAACATCCGAGCGAACATGAAATTTTGGACAAACTATGTATAATAATAATAATAATAATAATGATGATGATGATGTGATAATTACGGTAGGAGTCCGTCTGTCTCCTATCGGACCGTCGGCGCAGGTGGGGCGGATCGGGGAATGCTCTTTACCGCCACGCCGGAGGGTAGTGGGAAATAAAACACCACCCGTGGACCAAATCCGAGACGCTGGCGGCAGCGTTAAAGCTAGGGGAAGGTGACCCCGAAAAGAAACCCACGATGGGAAGATCCCTCAGGATCAACCTTACGGTTGCAGGGGATGAGCCCAGTACGGCAGCCGGGGTGGGTAAGCAAGGCCTGGCGGTCGTCAACCAGCGACTGCAATCTAGAGACGCGAGGACGCTTGGCGTCTCTGAAATACTACACTGCGACAAAGCGATAAGCCTAGAGCGTGCAGTTTTTGAGCCTTTTCTAGGAGGTCGGAAACTCGGAGGATCGCCTCCAAGTACCCCAACCACTCCAGGATAGGCACGACTGCGGAACGAGATGGCGCGGCAAAATCCGCCCGCAAAAGCAGCGAATTCGCGCAAAGTGGATAGGAAGCGCGGGGACCATGGAGGGAAAAGAAGTCGGGTAAATATTGCAGCAGGAAGTAGGGAACAGCAGCTGAACCTCATAATTGAAAAATGGGGAGACTATGGCACAACTGGTGGAATCCCAAGAAGCTCCAAGATGAACTGAAAGAATAAATTAATGAAAGAGGAAAATCGACGAGGTCTCATGGTATTTCCACGGACATTCATTAAATTAGGTGGAGAGGCAATTCGACCTAATTTAATTAGGTTATTTAATGTATCAAAACAACGCTTGCCGTACTGAAAGATTGGAAGCTGGCTCTCGTAGTACCTATTTTTAAAAGTGGCGACCAAGACAATAATTAGTAACTATAGCGGTAGCTTCATCAGTCCGTATGCAAACGTTATGGAACATCTAATTTCAAGCTATATCAGGAAAGAATGGAAGAGGCAGGGAAGTGGCTTGTCAGGGTCAGCACGGTTTCAGAAATGGGTTTCTCATGCGAAAGTCAGGCTAGTCTCACTTCTACAGGACCTAGCCGACGTAGTTGATGAAGGAAAAGGGGTCGACGCGATAGTAATAGATTTTTTCCAAAGCTTTGATGTAGTTTCCATCAACGATCGTCTTATAAAGAAATTAATAAGATCGGGTATAGACATAGAGGCGGTAGCGTGGATAAACACACCTACTCCGAAACAGGAAACAGAAAGTTCGAATGGTAGTTACTTATCAACCTAGAGAAGCGTCAACGTCCAGGATTCACCACGGAAGTGTAATCGGACGCACTCATGTTCTGGCCTTCGTGAATGAATTGCCGATACTTTAGCTTGAAAATGTCGACTCTTTGCAAGATGACTGCGTAATCTATAGGATTATCAACTCGGAGAAAGAGAGAGATATTTTGCAGCGAGACTTAGAGTAACAAATACGTATTGGTGCAGAAACAAACGGCATGGAAATAATAAACAGTTAAAGAGCAAGTCTCAACGTTTGGTAGGGCGTCGAACTTAAATGAATCTGCGTAAAACTGGAACAATAATGTTTATACCAAGTCACGTCTTGCAAAACTTAGACAATAGCTAGACAGAAATTGAGCTGGGAAATCAAGTCAATTTCGTTGTAGGGAAACGCCGGAAACGTTTAACATTTTGTTATGGGGATACTGAAAAAGATACATGGAGCCAAGATACTAGCACTAAATGTCATTAGTGCGACTATATAGAATCGTCGCGTATGTGGGACCCATACAGAATTTTTGCAATACAACAATCTAGAACGGTCCAGCAAAGAGATCAAAATTTACTTTCAGGAGTACAAAGAATAAAGATATGGGAGTCACTCGAAAGGGAGAAGAATAAAGTCCAGTCTCTATGCAATGTTATAACGCGTAACAACGGCCTTCAGCGTGGAAAGAAATTCTAAGTCGGATTAGGGAAACCTGCATTATTCGGCGAGCGGATCACTCGCACAAAATTCAGGACAGAGTTCAGAAACGGACGTTGGGATAATATCATTTCGCGGAAATCGCACTATTAGGACTGGAACATAGGTTTGCCTGTGACAATCTTCGATCACCACTTTCCTCAAAGTCTGAGCAAATTTAAAAATAAATTAGTTTCTTGAATGTAGATATGTTATAAATATTTTATAAGTTAGTGTAATTACTATGTCCTTCTTTGTAATTAAGTATTAATTATTATATTTTTTATATAATTATTATATATATTATTATTATTAATTAATTATTATTATTATTTTATTATGTGCAGTGAGTGGCGGTGAAGTGCAGTGAACGTTGTGTAACTGAGAGAAACGAGTGAGTAAGAAAGACATTAACAGCTCGCTGTATCGGCAGGGGTGAAGCGAGTTTGGTAAGTGGAGTTCTATGAAAGATTGCAGACGGTGAAATGGCTCATGTGAATTTTGTAAAGTTT